CTCAAAGGCCAGGCACGGTGGCTCACGCCTGTAATCCCAGCACTTTGGGAGGCCAAGGTGGGTGGATCACGAGGTGAAGAGATCGCCACCATCCTGGCCAACATGGTGAAACCCCATCTCTACTGAAAATACAAAAAATTAGCTGGGCATGGTGGCACATGCCTGTGGTCCCAGCTACTTGGGAGGCTGAGGCGAAAGAATCACTTTAACCCAGGAGGCAGAGGTTGCAGTGAGCCAAGATTGCACCACTGCACTCAAGCCTGGCAACAGAACAAGACTCTGTCTCAAAAAAAAAAAAAAAAAAAAAAAAGATTCTCCCATAGCCTGTTAGTTCTAAGAAGAAAATGTTGCTGTCAGAAAAACAAGACAGTTAACATAGACAGGTGCAGGGTACTACAAGGAGACAGAGACCTGCTGAAGCTGAGCAATGATTTAAGTGTCTGATGACACACAGAGATGTCATTGAACTCCTTCCTCGTCCCCCCAGCTGATGAAGTCTCTGGGTTTCAGTTCAGTTCCCAGTAATGCTAGGCCTTCAGGTTTGGAAAAGCAGGCACAGAAATGACAGCCATTTTCTATCAAGCCGCTACAAAAAGAGACTAGTCTCAATTGCTGTCTGTAATGTGTAGAAAGTGCATCACTTGAATTCCACAGGTGTTTCCAGAAGGAGAATAAAAGAGACCCACACCCAGTTTTCACTTCCTGAGATTGAGGTCGCTCTCCATATGGCTAATGTGGAGCCTTCTTAGTTTTAGGACACTCAGGCCCAGGTGGAAATCGAGAGTCTGTGTGGACAGTGGATCATTTTCATGTTTCAAAAGGAAAATGTTTTTCTTCCATTATAGTAAATACAGTACATACTAGCTATAAGAAAATGAACTGTAAACAAATATTTCCTTGCTCTACCGGATGAGAGGGCCTAGAAACAGTACTCCCAGCAGCAGTGTACACATCCAGTGTCCAAATCTTGGTCTCTTTCTTTAGTTTTTAAAGTTGAGGCAAGGTCTCGCTCTATCACCCGGGCTGGAGTACAGTGGCACAGTCCTGGCTCACTGTAGCCTCTGCCTTTCAGGCTCAAGTGGTCCTCCCACCTCAGCCTTGGGAGTAGCTGGGACTGCAGTGGCATGCCACCATGCCTGGCTGATTTTCGTAGTTTTTGGTAGAGATGGGTTTTTGCCATTGCCCAGGCTGGTCTTGAACTCCTGAACTCAAGCAGTCTGCCCACCTTGGCCTCTCACAGTCCTGGGATTACAACGAATGTTGGTTTTCAGTGGTATTCTCCATCAAAGGGAACCAGGACTTCCTGGAAAAAGGGCTAATTTTAGGGCTGGGCAAAGGTATACAGGAAGAGTTGAGCATCTTACGGTGCCAGAGCCTAAGAAAGTGCTTAAAGAAACCCACAAAGAAGGTGCAAGTCACAGGGACTCAGGAACAGCCGTAAAGGCTCCGAGTGGCAGCTCTGCGTTATGGAAGAACCCGAGCAACAAAGATGGCTGATGACAGCATAGCCGATCTCTCCTCTGTATCAGCATCCACAAGAAAGGAGTGTACCCAAAGTCTGCATCAATATCCACGAGACCATAGCGTGTACCCAAAGTCTGTCAATACTACGAGACAGAGTGTACCAGAAGTCTGTCAGTATGTGTGAGACAGAGTGTACCTGAAGTCTTGGTCAGTATCCACGAGACATGGAGCGTACCCAGTCTACATCAGTATCCACAAGACGATAGCGTGTACCCAAAGTCTGTCAGTATCTATGAGACAGAGTGAACCAGAAGTCTGTGTCAATATCTGTGAGACACAGAGCGAACCAAAGTCTTTGTCAGTATCCATGAGACAGAGTGCACCTGAAGTCTACACCAATATCCAGGTATTCAACTCTGTCAATAAAATCCTTAAACTGCAGTTTAGGGAGCAGTCTCTGTGCCCAGTGCTCCGTGTGTCTGATGAGCATCTTCAAGTCTTAAGCCTCGTGACCTTTACCTTTGAAGTTTGCCTTATCAAACACATGCCTCAAGGCTGGAAGTCCTCTCAGCATCCAGCCTGGGTGTATTTCTGTCAGCTGTTCTCTGCGGAGGTGCAGGCACAGGTGCTCCACTTCCTGACTCTTCATCAGGCTCAGCTCCTTATATGAGACATGGAGCATACCCAAAGTCTACATCAATATCCACAAGACCACAGTGTGTACCCAAAGTCTGTGTCAATATCTGTGAGACGTAGAGCGAACCAGAAGTCTACGTCAGTGTCCATGAGGCCAGGCATCCCCAAAGTCTGCGCCGATATTCACAAGACGTAGAGCGTACCGGAAGTCTTCATCAGTACCCAGGGGACCACAGAGTATGGCTGAAGTCTACGTCAATAGCCATGAAACATCAGTATCCACGAAACGCAGAGCATATCCGAAGTCTGTCAATACCCTTGCGACTGCATAAGCGTGACCAAAGTCTGTGTCAGTATCTGAGTCCACAGAGCATGCCCAAGAGAAGCTGTCAGACACGACCTCAGCCAGACGGTCAAGGTCAATGTCTACTGCGATGAGTCCTGTTGATGGTGTGGACCCTTGATGGGACTTGATGAGACAGGCACTTCATCCCTGGGGTCGTCCTGATAATTCATAACCCCAGTCTAATCATGAGAAAGAGAGCAGACAGTCCCAACAGAGGGGCACTCTGTAACACCCGAGCCGTCCACACTGCTTTCATGGTCCTCAGAAGAAAGGGGAGCTGGAGAAACTCACGGCCCAGAGGAACCTGAGGAGGTGAGAGGATGAAACGGCCTGTAGGACCCTGGGTGGGATGGCGGGCCAGGAGGATCTGAGGAGCACTGGGGGCTCTGAATGAAGCGTGGGCTGCAGTCACAGGAACGGGTCAGTGCCGGTTCCTGAGCTGTCACGAGGGCACCAAGGAGAGGAAGGTGTTGGTGCCAGGGGGACACTGGTGTAGACCTGTGGGAGCTCTTGGTACTATCGTCTCGATTTTCTGTAAACATGAAACTTATAAAATAGTGTATTAGAAATAGAGAATTGGAGGCCGGGCGCGGTGGCTCACGCCTGTAATCCCAGCACTTTGGGAGGCCGAGGCGGGTGGATCACAAGGTCAAGAGATCGAGACCATCCTGGTCAACATGGTGAAACCCCGTCTCTACTAAAAATACAAAAAATCAGCTGGGCATGGTGGCGCGTGCCTGTAATCCCAGCTACTCAGGAGGCTGAGGCAGGAGAATTGCCTGAACCCAGGAGGCGGAGGTTGCGGTGAGCCGAGATCGTGCCATTGCACTCCAGCCTGGGTAACATGAGTGAAACTCCGTCTCAAAAAGAAATAGAGAATTGGGTTTTCTGCATGAGAGGAAAAGATGCTAGAACCAGAGGAGAAGGGCATGATTGACGTACCAGATTATGAGCATGTAGAAGATGAGGTTTTTCCTCCTTTCCCACCTCCAGCCTCTCTGGAGAGACAACATGAAGGAGCTGAGCCTGATGAAGAGTCAGGAAGTGGAGCACCTGTGCCTGCACCTCCGCAGAGAACAGCTGACAGAAATACACCCAGGCTGGATGCTGAGGGGACTTCCAGCCTTGAGGCATGTGTTTGATAAGGCAAACTTCGAAGGTGAAGGTCATGAGGCTGAAGACCTGAAGACGCTCCTCAGACACACGGAGCACTGTGCACAGAGACTGCTCCCTAAACTGCAGCTTGAGGGTTTGATTGACAGAGTTGAATACCTGGGAAGTAAAAAGGAAGTTTAGACCTGTTTAAAACGAATTCGGCTTCATCTTCCTATTTTACATGAAGATTTGTTAGCAATAGTGATGAAGTTGTAGAAAGTAATGAACGTAATGTAACTGCTACTGAATGAGATCCCTTTCTGACAAACTCATCTGAAACTGAGGTGTTCGCTTCTGAGTCAAGTAAAAGCCTAACAGAAGAGCAACAACAAAGAATTGAGATAAACAACTGGCCTTGGAGAGAAGGCAGGCAGAGCTGCGGAGTACTCGTCAGTCCCCGGGAAATGACCTGTTAATGAACACACCCAGGGCACAGCTTAATACTGAGGAGGGTCACGTGGATTAAATGAGGACATTGTAGACGATTCATGGAATGATGCTGTTGCTAATACTTTAAATGAAAGGGAGGAATTAGAGGAAACACTGCTCGACCAATCTTAAAAATGTGCCATAGTAACTTGATGCTTCATCCAGAAATGGTACTGAAGCTGGATAAGTTTCCAGTAAGAAAATGTCTGTTAACTCGCCATCCTGCAAGCTTGGTGTTACTGTGCATTTTTCTTTGAGTGAAAATCCTTAGGTAGTAAAACTTAGATTATTGTTTTAAAAAAAGAGAATTAAAGTGCAGACAAATACGAGATGAAAACGGACTGGGTCCTTCCACCCAGGGCACGTGTTTTGCTGGGCATCTCCCTCACCACCGTAGGTCCCAGGTAAGGGTTGTGGCGCCAGGACATAGGGCACGTGTGTTTGGGAGTGGTGTGCCTGGTCAGGCTGGGGTGCTGACGCTCACTTGAGGCAGAAGACTGAGGGTTAAGGGACATGGACTTTGTTGTTCTTGAAGCTTAGAGAAGTCTTTAAGTGGGCAGTGGCTGCTTTCTGCCCACAGCAGTAACTTGATTTCTGTTCCAAAGCCTGAATCGTGTTATTTGAAAGGTGGTGAGAACTGAGACTGCCGGAGCCAGGAATGAAGAATGGCTGCCTAGTGCATTAGAGGCCCCAGGCTGCGTGGACGCTATGTGCGCTCGGACGAGCACGCTAGTGTACTGTGATCGCGGCGGTTGGAAAGGGGCCCCTTCAGATGGACCCAGTCTTAGGGATGACGCCTGTCTGTCAGGTGGCAGCAGCACTGAGCACACTGCAGACACACTTCGGAGCTTAGGGTGGTCTGCGGGAAAGGCCTCCAGTCCCTTCCGTCCGAAATGCGCCCGCAGCGTGGGCGCCTGTGAGCAGTCACTGTAGATGTCCCCGGTTCTCACATAGTTCCTTTCCTTTGCAGAGAGTCAAGAAGGACGTGGACAAAGGCACCCGGCACTCAGACATGTTCCTGCTGAAGCCAGAGGACGGAAGAAAAGGTAGGGCGGGGACTGGCTGGTCCGCCTGTGGTGGGAGGCGAAGCCCAAGCCTCAGCATAGTGAGACACCCATGGATATGGGGCTGGCGCTGAGCCCCTGCACCAGCCTAGAGCGGAGGGCCCGCCAAGATGGTCCTTTTGTAGGTGGGGTGGGCGGGACAGGCTCCATAATCCTGGTGTCTGCAGACACGGGAACGCCTGCTGGGCGGTCACCTCTGGGAGCATTGATGATGGGCTGACTCCGCTGCATGGGTGCGATACCCTGTGGACAGCCCTCTGTGGCACAGTGAGCATGGTGTTCCTCAGCACTTCCTGACGGGCCCCACAAGGGTCTCGGGCTCTCCAGGACAGCCGTCCTGGGCCTTGAGTACGAGCCACAGGAGTCACAGGGGCTGCCTGGCACTGTGGTGACGCGCTTGCCCTTGGGTGGTTGTGGGCAGCCGCCGAGTAGGTTGGGTGTGGGGCTGGCCAGCATTGCTCATCCACAGACCTTTGGAAATGGTCACGGAGACTGCTGTTGGCCATCACAATGACAGCCTTCGAGGACAGCTGTGTCCTCTGTGCAGTAGGAGTTACTGAATTCAGGGTGCTGTCGAATGCCTAGATTTCTAAGAGCTTTTTGCTAAACTTGGGTCTAAGGATCAAAATTTTCATACAGGGAAACAATAATCATTCTCTGGGACTTCTTAAAAGGATGACATGGGGTAACTCAGGGGACAGCTCTTTGCATGGCTCTGGCACCAGCAGGGCCCAGGATATGTCAGCTATTCAACACCTTCCATGTGCGACACGCTCTGTATTCCTTGGTGTGGGTTCCTGCATTGAGATGAACTGGTGACCACCTTTCCTGCCACTGGCTGCTTCCGTGTGTTCTCACAGACCTCTCAAGGCGGGGGAGAAGCCGCACATGTGTGGAGCCAGAGGGGGATGGGAGTGGGCTGCTACTTTTCAATCATTAATTTCTTGACTTTGACAAAAATAATTGTGTTTGTTACTGGCTGGGTGCAGTGGCTCATACCTGTAATCTTCGGGAGCCTGAGGTAGGAGGATTGCATGAGGCCAAGAGTTTGAGACCAGCCTAAGCAACATAGTGAGACACCATCTCTTTTAAAAAAAAAAAAAAAAAAAAAAAAAATCAACCAGGTGTGCTGGCGTGTGCCTGTAGTTCCAGGTACTCAGGAGGCTGAGGTGGGAGGATTGCTTGAGCCTGGGAGATGGAGGCTGCAGTGAGCTGAGATCGTGCTACTGCACTCCAGCCTGTATGAGAGTGAGACCTAGTCGCAACAATGAACAAATAGCCGGGTGCAGTGGCTCACGCCTGTAATCCTAGCACTTTGGGAGGCCGAGGTGGGTGGATCACCTGAGATCAGGAGTTCAAGACCAGCCTGGCCATCATGGAGAAACCCCATCGTTAATAAATAAATAAAGGGAGAAATGGCATTTGTTCCTGCTCCAGAGCAAGGGAGTGATGCCAGGAGGCATGGGTTGAGAGTGTTTGCCATGGAGTGTGGTGTCTCCAATGCCCTTAGGAAGCTGGGTGACAGTTCTCTCACGGGAGGCTGTGGGTTGGGACCGTAGGGCTGGGCTAGACCCAGGAGACCTAGTGCTTAGGACAGGTCTGCCTTTGTGACCCATGGCAAGTTCTCCACCCTCCCTGGGAGAGGGGACTGTTGTGCAAAGTGTCTGTACCCCTTTCTTGCACTAAAATTCCTCAGGCTGAGGCCTCAGAAGTACCCGAAGGGTTAGTCTGAGTCCACACCCACTTGCCTGGCAAAAGGCCCAGGTACTTCTCTCATGGCCCTGCTTTACTGCACCCCGGCTGATGAGGACTCGTTCTTTCAGTCACTTGCCCAGCTCATACCACAGTGAGCTTGAACCTGGACGCTGGACTTTGTTCTAGTTAGGGCGGCCCGGAGCCAGTGTGCCCAGCTCCTCAGCCCCCAGGAGGAAAGCGTTGTGGGAGGAGCTGTGCATATTGCATGTGTGGGATTCTGTAACTGGAGAGGATCCTGGCCTGACGGTGTGGCGAGTTCTGGTGGTCTGCCCTGTTAACACAGGCGGTGCGGGCGGGAATGACGTGGGTGGCCCCAGGGCCGCACCTGTGCTGGGCATGGATGGTTGATGGCTCGCACCATGAGGAATGCGGCCCTTTGCTGCTTCTGATTTTTTTTTTTTTTATGTTCATTAGAGGAAAGAAAAAATCTCCGTTCTTTCTCTTAGAAGTGGGAAGACATTTCCTGCACCTCACATTGAGCTACGTTTGAGGGTTGGCATGTTGCATAGGCACGTGCCGAGAAAGAGTGTGAAGCGGAGCCCTCCTATAGTAGAGCTGGCCAACCGCGGGCCTAGGCAGGGCTGGTGGAGGCCTCGCAACCCTGGATGGAGGGTCCTCGTGCAGCGCGGCCTCCCCGGGAAGCCCCTCTGCCGTGCCAGTCTAGTTCGTGTGCCGCTTCCCCCTTATCCCTGCCTTTCCTCTGCGGCTCGAAGCGGCTCCATAGGTAGAGGTGCCAGGGGTGTGGAAAGCTCTTGACTGCCAGCACTCTTAAGGAGAAGGGTGGAACTCGATGGGGTTGGAATGGTGATGCTGCAGAGGGAGCAGAGTTTTTGCCAGAAGTTTGACAGTTTTCATTTACTCCGTTTCCGGGGGCACCTGGGTTCCTGGGCGTGTCCTGGCCTGTCTCTTTTCTTCTGTTTTTATTCCGTTTGCTTGTTTTCTTTTGACAGACAAGTGGGTGTGGACTCGGATTAACCCTTCAGGGGTCAAGCCCACTCCACGGTCTGGCTTTTCTGTGGCCACGGCCCCCAATCACCAGCCCCTGTTCTTCGGGGGTGTCTGTGATGAGGAAGAGGAGGAGAACCTGGAGGGAGAGTTCTTCAACGATCTGTACTTCTACGACGCCACCAGGAACCGGTGGTTTGCGGGACAGCTGAAGGTAGGGCAGCCTCTGAGTAGCATGTGCCGTCGTACACAGCCCTAACTCGGGTCCCTGCCCTCCTTGCCTCCCTCCTGTACCTTTGGGTGTCGGGGCTCCAAAGCGCATGACCTCTCAGGAGGGGTGGGAGTTCCTGTCTCTGCCTGTGTCCTGGGCGACTGGGCTTGGGAGCCCTTGGTCACGGTCCCTTGAGCCCATCCTGGATGCTGGTGGTGCTTCTGTCTCGGGAGTTACTTGCCCTGGGCGGAGGTCCCTGGGACCTCCCCGGCCCTCTGTGTGAGGGGAGTTTGCAGGAGGTTCTGGTGCAGACCAGCTTGTGTTGTTACTGCGCTGGAACGTCCCTGCTTTCCTGGTACCATCTTTACTGTCTACCTGAGCCAAGCACAGGCAGACAGTGGGTGACAGCCCCAGAAGTGGGCCCCCCACTTGGCCTCAGGGTCTCTGAGGGGACCAGGTCAGCCGAACCCAGAAAGGGCTGTGGCCGAGGAGGGCTGGTCCCTATTGGTGGCAAGCTCCTAGGGCTGCTCTTGACATGTGGTGGCACCTGGGCTGGAAATTGGGGAAACACGAGGGTTTGTTTCTGGACCTACAGTCCGCTTCGGTTTCCCAGTTTTCGGAGGAGTCCCTCCAGAGTCTGCACAGGCTTCTGTGTGGCTTTTCAGAGAGCTTGTTGGCCCCAGTGGAAGAATTAGTGTCACGGTTCTCAGACTGTGATCTCAGGGCCCTTGACATTCCCCAGGATGACTGAGGACCTCAGAGCTTTCCCTTTTGAAACTCATTGTTGCACTGTCCAGATACAAAGTGGATCTTAGAAGTCTGAAGCTGACTCGGGGTTGATCTAGAGGTAGGGATCCTTGGAAAATTTGGAGGTGACCTGGCAGATGTCGTCTCATGAGTTGGCAGCATTTTGTGATGGAAGGGTCCAGACTGACCCCTGCAACACAGCCAGGGAAGTGGGACAGAGAGGGACGGACAGGTGTCCTGCAGCAGGCAGCCTGACACGAGAACTCTGCTTTAGACACATTTGGTGAGGAAGGGCCCCTCTCTGGCTCGCCGTCTGTAGTTCATTTACAGCTTGTTTGCTGGGGTTGGGGTTGTGGATCCCACCATCCGTCTTGCTTGGGAAAGGGGAGGAAGCCCCTCAGCCTGGCTTCCCTAGCCCTTCTGGGAGCCAGCACTGTGGGTGGATTGAGTATTCCCGGGATGAGCGTCAGAGCCTGAGGGCCAGTGCACTGAGTCTGGGGCCTGGTAAGCATGTCCACCTTTCAGTGGAGGTGCGGGGCCGCCCCTCAGTGAGGACACGCGAAGGGGGGTTTCCTCCTTCAGCCCCATAGTGGATGGTGAGGCCAGTGGGAGATAGGAGCGTGCCCCTGCGGCCCTAAGTGCCTGCATCCAGAGCGGTCAGGGGCGGTGTCCTCCTGGGTCACCTACTCTCCATGCTTCTGGGCGGTTACTGCAAACCGTTGCTTGGCCTCTTGGGTGTAGCAGGACCAACCCCTGCCTCACTGAAGCTGCTGCCTCTCTGTTCCCTCGGTCTGTTAATAGGGACCCAAGTCCGAGAAGAAAAAACGTAGGCGGGGCAGAAAAGAGGAGCCCGAAGGTGTCAGCAAGCACCCAAGGGCCCGTGGAGGTAGTCAAGGAGGTGGTGGCTGAGGATGGGACGGTGGTCACCATTAAGCAGGTGCTGGCCGCCCCAGGCTCAGTGGGGCAGCCTCAGTCTGAGGATGAAGACAGCTCCGAGGAGGCCGACGGCCCCGTGCCCGGGCCATGTCCACGCTCCAATGCCATGCTGGCTGTGAAGCACGGGGTGCTCTACGTCTATGGGGGCATGTTTGAGGCCGGCGACCGCCAGGTCACCCTCAGCGACCTGCACTGCCTGGACCTGCACAGGATGGAGGCGTGGAAGACCTTGGTGGAGATGGACCCAGGTAAACCAGGGGGCTTAGTGCCCCCGTGCATGGGAGCCAGAGCCCACAGTAGTGTAAGCTGCCCAGAGGCGGCCTGTGCTGATGCACCTCGCCGGGCCTGTGTTCCTGCCTCCACGGTCAGAGCGACGTGAGAATGGGACCCTGTGGTAGAAAGGGGGGCCCACCCTGGGCACATCTCTCCTTCATCCCGGGTGCTGACGGGGGCTGTGGTTCTGGCGGCACAGGGCGTCTGCTGCTCTGTCGTCCGCAGCGTGCTCGTTTGTGGGTGACCGTCTGCACTGGGCCCCTAGGCCCTGGGTCTGCACCTCTGGCCTCGTTGCCTGACCCAGGGTCCCTCTGCTGCTGAGTCTCACATCCTCATTTTTTTCCCCCAACGGCTGCTGGGCTCAAGCCACCATGGCGTTTTTAAAGATCTGAGACTAAAACTAAAGCAAAATCCACAAATCTGGGGAATGGCGCGAACCATTGGTGCAGGATGCTCGCTCTTTTCTAAGAGCCCTGTGAGCCGGGGGGAGGGTGGCAGGAGGCCTTCTTGGCCAGCCGCTCCGTTCTGGGGGTGGTTTTGCATGCTTGCCGTCTTGCATCTCTGCCCTAAGGCCCAGAGGAACACATTCTGTTTTCTTTATGGAGCTGAAGGTAGTTGGGGAAGAGGAGTTTGATTTCACATTATGGTTCTTTTTCTTTTCTTTTTTTTGAGAGGGAGTCTCACTCTTACTACCCAGCTATAGTGCAGTGGCGCGATCTTGGCTCACTCCAACCTCTGCCTTCTGGGTTCAAGCAATTCTGCCTCAGCCTCTTGTGTGGCTGGGATTACAGATGCATGCCACCATACTTGGCTAATTTTTTTCTTTT